CGCTGGGATTACAGACATATACCACAACTCCTGGCTTCTAACTTGGGTGCTTGGGATCTGAACTCAGGTCCTCATGCTTGGGCAGCAAGCACTTTACCGACTGAGCCATCTCTCAGCTCCCACCCCTTTTTCCTTCCTCCAGGGAGACTTCTTAAACTATTCTCAGATCAAGGTCATCACCTTGAGTTATGACCTTCCTTATTCCTTTGCCTCTACATTGCTGGTGTCCTATAGTAGCTCTAGGGTTTCTTCACATCCTAATGATCACTCTTAAACTCCTTACCTATCTTCCTAAAATTGTTCTGTGGTATTATCTCTAATAAAACTCCTGTCCTTATTTCTCTACCCTAACATTCTTCACTTTGTCCTATAGGAGAACTAACATGGTGGTATTCTATTGGCGGGGGGGGGGGTGCTGATTTGCTCATATTCCTGTTTAAGGAACCAACACCTCCCGAGAAAAGCATCTCCTTTGCCCTTGTTGGGCTTGAGACACTTAAAACCTTCTAAGGGAGAGATCTTGCCACAGCATACCAAGCCTGTCTTGAGATAATTTTTCTCTTGGTGCTCACAGCTTTTCCAGCTAACCTACAAATAATTTCCAGTCTCAAAATAATCATGACTGTCTTGCTGTGCTTCCTCTCTCCCCTTTTTTATAATTCATGTTGCTCACTCCCATCCTGCCTAGCCAATACTCACTATTTTCCATACCACGTACTCTACAGTCAAACACAATGGAACAGGATGAGACATTCGGCCCAACACGCCAATGGCAGCAGCCAAGTCAGACAGCAAGTGTATGTAATACTCAGTGCTTGAGCGAAAAGGCTGCTTTCTGTTCCCATCACACAGAAGGGAATAGACTGTTTTTGGCAGTCCTCAACACCAATTCATGCAATCAGTTTTCTTATTGGACTCCAATGTTGATGTTCCTGGATGGAAGCTATATGATAAACAGGATGTTGATACTTACTGTACTGCTTGTGTCAACTTATGGTGGAAAAACAATGTTAAAACATATCTAAATTCCTTAATGGTTCCTTTTCCTTAAGTAACACTAAAGGTAAATATTTAACAATAATCAGTATCACTGGCATCCTGATAAATGTTAACCAACTCTGAGCCAGTGAGATTGCTCAGTGGTTGGGGATGCTTGTCACTAAATCTGGGAGCATTTGATCCCAAGGACTCACATGGTAGAGGAAGAGTTGACTCCCGAAAGTTGTTTTCTGACCTCCACATGCCTATGGTGTCACACGTGTGCACTAGCACACACACACACACCAAATAAATGAATGTGAAAAAAAAATCCTGACTATAGTTCCAACAGCAACCAAGTGTAACCCAACTCTCCCTTTTTGATTTATTGGAAACCGGATTTCCAGGTTCCTTGAAATCGATCCACTATTGAGCAACCTCTGTGTATTGATGACTTCTCTGGTGTCAGGCCAAAAACATTCAATGAGGACTATCTTCCAGCCTAGCCTTACTACTGATGTGGTTAGATCTAGGCATCAGCCATTGGAGAAAGCTTTAAGACTACTACTACTTTGTATGAGGAACCAACTTGTACCTAGTCCTCTGTACTAAGCAGTAGGCCCGCTTTACAATGGTGGCTGTGGTCATTGACACCCAGGCTGTCAGTGTCTCAGACTCCCCATTTTCTGATGCTTTGTATAACCTAGGCTCCTTTCTAAAAAAGGTACTCTTAGGCTGGGTATGGTGGTGCATGCCTAGAATTCCAGTACTTGGGAGGCAGAGACAGGTGGGATCTTTGAGAGTTCAAGGCTAGCCTGGTCTACATAGTGAGTTCTAGGCCAGCCAGGGCTATATAGTAAGACCTCTTGTCTCAAAAACAGAAAAACAACTTGAAAAAACTTAAAAAAAAATTAAAGGCATTTTTGTCCTCACAACTGAGCTTCTGACATTCTAGATTTTGGATCACTAGCCACAAGTAATCTAGTACTAAAGGGGCAACTTTGGGCTGGTCTTCTTTTAAGACTTTTGGCCAATGAGAACTTCAGCTATAGAGTTGAGTATTAAAAATATCTCCCTCAGGCAGAGGCAGGTGAATTTCTGTGAGTTCAAGGCCAGCCTGGCCAGCTGGGGCTACAGGGAGACCCTGTCTCAAAACCAAAAAAAAAAACAAAACTAAAAACCGAAACCTCCCTTATCTTAAAATCTACTTTAAAGGCCACAGTACCCACTATAGAGGCACAACACAGCCTCAACTCTCTAGCAGAAATGATCCCCTGAATCCAGAGGGCCCTAGATATCCTTACTGCAAAAGCAGGAGGTACGTGAGCTCTCCTTAATGAAACCTGTTACTTCTGGGTCAACTTAGAAAAGTAAAGAAAAATCTCTCAAAAACCAACCAACCAAAGAAAAAATAAAATACTTGAGAATTTTAAAATGTATTCTGGACCTCCTAGCTCCGACATTCCTAGGTTGCTTCTCCAGATGGGTTCGACTCTCTTAGCAACCACAGCCCTTTTCTTTATCGCTTTACTGATTCCTGTTTCACTCATTCATTTTTTTTGAGACAGGGTCTCCTATATGTCTCTCCCAGTCTTCAAGCTCAGTCCATAGCCAAGGATGACCTTGAACTTTTTTTTTTTTTGGTCTTTTTGAGACAGGGTCTCCCTGTAGCACCAGCTGTCCTGGAACTCACTATGTAGATCAGGCTGGCCTTGAACTCACAGAGATCTGCCTGCCTCTGCCTCCCAAGTGCTGGGATTAGAGGCATGCACCACCATGCCTGGCTATCCTTGAACTTCTTATCTCCATGCTTCTACCTCCTGGTGCTGGGATCATATGTAATTACCATCATGTCCAATTTTATGTGGTGCTAGGAATCAAACCCAGGGTCTCTGTGTATGCTAGGTAAGCACTCTACCAACTGAGCCCTAGTCCCAGCCCTTTTTGTTTTAAAATCTGCTTTGTGTCTTTGGCCCTTGCTTATGTAGCCTTCTGGTACTGTTAGTATCTTCCTGGTTATGGGTCTTTAAGGTCCTGATGGTGCTGTCTCGGGGATACCAACCATCACCAAGGGCATCAATGCCTGCCTTCCATCACTGACAATCTTTTCATCTGATGTCAGTGTCTGCTCTGGTCTCCTGGGCAGCCACTCTCTCCTTTCTCCAAAGTATTTTGAGATATCCTGAGGCCTCTTGATTGCTCACAATGCCAAGCAGGGTCCCCAGTGCCTTGAAGAAGCTTCAGAAGATGGATCTTCATCCCTTGCCACTGATTCATTTGACTTTGATTTAGGAGAGGCCACTATTCTGGGAAAATGGCTTGTCTTGACTTAGTCTAGCCACAGAACAAGGCTCTTATTGCCTCAGGGTAGAATGGGCTCAGAGCAAGGCTGCTGTTAGTTCAGAACTATTATGAGAAAGTTATCCATAACAAGCCATAGCTGTAATCTATCTTAGGGTGTCCTGTCACTGCTATAGAGAATTCTACACATTGAACAGGCTCAGACCCTCAGGAGACTGACTCCTAGAGACTCATGTCTCTGAGAGCTCATCCACTGTATCTCTGCAGTGTTACTTTCCTTTTCAACTATTTAGTGTGTGTTACGTTGTGTATGATGGGGGCGGGTGGCAAATGTGCTACAGCATGTGTGTGGTCAGAGGATAACTTTTTGAAGTTGGCTATCTCCTTCCATCTTTCCATAGGTTCCAGGGATTCAACTTATGTCACCAGGCTTGCTTTGACTTCTGAGCCATCTTGCCAGCCTCTGCAGTCTGTCTTTTACCTTTTATTTTTTTCTCCATTTTCTCTCTCTCTCTCTCTCTCTCTCTCTCTCTCTCTCTCTCTCTATTTTTGTCTTTTTGTGACAGGGTTTCCCCGTAGCCACAACTGGCCTGGAACTCGCTATGTATACTGGGCTGGCCTTGAACTTACAGAGATCTGCTTGCCTCTGCCTTGCTGCAAGTGCTGGGATCAAAGATGTGCCCCACCATGTGTTTGGCTAGTCTTTTAAAGTTTAAAAAAATTTTTTTTATCTGTGTATGAGGGTTTTGCCTGAATGTAAGCGCGTGCACCTGTGCCCTTGGATCCCTGGAACTGGAGGTACAAAGGGTTGTGAGCCACAATGTGAGTGCTGGGAACTGAATCTGGGTCCTCTGCAAGATCAACAAATGCTCTTAACCACTGAGCCATCTCTCCAGCCCCTGACTAGTCTTTGGCCATATCAGACTCCTAAAACTACTTAAGCTAGAGAATCATCATCCCTAAATATTCCTTAAACACCCCCCCATCCTGTTTTGTGTAAAATGTTACAGAAATTCGGATTCATAACCATTGTTAGGTTACTTGTGGATGCAAAGCACTAAGAAGTCACCAGGAAAAGAGTCCTGTGTTTAAAAAGTAATGACCTAGGCGTGGTGGCGCATGGCTTTGATCCCAGCAAACGGGCGAGGCGGGTGGATCTCTGTGAATTCAAGGCCAGCCTGGTCTACATAGTGAGTTCCAAGTCAGCTGCGGCTACGGGGAAACCCTGTCACAAAAAGGCAAAAAGCAAAAACAAAACAAAAAAAGTAATGACCTAAATCTGACAATAATAGTACTAGTACATAGTACTGTTTTTTGGTCTGGCCTGGTGTGTGGAACACACCGGTAAGACAAGCACTTGGGAGGTGGAGGTAAGAGGATCAGCTCAAGGTCATATTCAGCTATGCAGTAAACTAGGGCCTGGCCTGGCTAGGTGAGACCCTGTCCAAAAAAAAAAAGTTTCTTGCTCGGACTTGGAAGTCTACAAAGCCTCGTTTTGCGGAGGCCTGTCCCATCTCTTAGACAGGCCTGTAGCTACTTCAAGATGGAAACTGGCCCGTGGGCACCGGCCCGACCCGAGGTTCGCAGATCCCCAGGGATCCAAACTGTCCTCACTCCTTTCGCCAGGAGGTCCCCACGCATCGGTGCTTCCGCGGCCCACGTTCCTTCCGCGCTCTAGAGGGAGCCCGTGGGCCACGCGCTGGCCTGCGTTCCAGAGACGTTCCCGTGAGGCCGCGGCCCCGCGGTCCCGCACCTGCTGGACCGCGAGCCCGGGCCGACTGGTGTGCCGGGGACACCCAGCCCGTGCGCCCTCGCCACGCCGCAGCCAGACACACACGCTCTCCCCATCGCCCGGAGCGCGCCAGGAACCTCCCCGCCTCCGAAAGCCTGGCGGCCGGGCCTTGGAAGCAAGCGGGGCCAGAGTTCTGTCCCACCTGCTTGCCAGCTCAGGCCTAGACCGCGGCGGTCCCTCCGGATACAGCGGCTGCACGGAAAACCCGGAGCGGAGGCCCGACCACCCCTCCAGTGGGGCGGCTCGGCGGACTGAGCATGCGCAATGCGCCAGGCCGGCTCCCAGCGCCAAAAGAAAGCGTTCGCTTTGAACCCGGCGACTGCGCCGGGGTATGCGGTATCTGCTAGCGTGGCTGCTGCACCCCACGCTGCCCGGCACCTTGCGCTGCATCCTCGGCGCTGGCCTGTCGTCCCCGGAGCGTCTGTGTGGGTAAGCGGACCGGGCACTCGGGCCCATGGGGCCCACGGGTCACGTTGGCTTGGCGCTGGTGTTGCAAAGTGGTGATTCAGCACTTAGCGCCGCTGCTGCCCCTCAAGCCGCCAGTTCCTCCCGCCAGGCCGCTCGGGGCCGGGAAGGGCGGCCGCCGGGCTCGGGAGGGACCGGCCTGGCGGGCGGGGCGGCCGCGGGAGGACCGCGACGGTGCCCCGGGATCACCCCGGCGTATGCCACAAGTGCGGGGGCGCGGGGCCTCCCGAGGGGGATCTGGTGCCGTGAGGTAGAGGGACCCGAGACCGCTTCTCACTCCCATCTTTATCCCTGCCGGGCCGGAGCGTCCTGAGCCGCCGGAGCGTCCTGAGCCGGGGACATGCTGGCGTTGGGAATTGGAAAAGTTTGCCTGCCTCGGCGGGAGTGTGGAAACCGTGTTGGGTTTTTCTTGTCTGGGGAAGTTAGCGAGCCAAAAGAGACCTTAGAGTCCTTTACAGCAGCTCCCATGTTTCACATCTAAAGCAACAGAGGCTCGGAGACGTTTTGTGATTTCTTCTACAATTGCAGAGATTATGGCAGGTTTTTGGCTGCCGGTTAATGTGTGCCCTCCGCTTCCCTGCCGCTCTGTTTATATTACAGATTTTGTCTTGAAGTCTTAATAGGCTTGACTGTGAATCTAGATACGCAGTGGTGTCTTGCCCTGCTTAGATCTTTAGTTGAACCCCTCCTGATTTTAGTATCTAGAACCCATAGAATGCAGTGCACGGTGGTAATATGTGGTGTTATTATGTGAACTGCCTTCCAAGGAACTCTGATTTGCCTGGAGTCATTTGATAAACGAAGAGATGAGTTTGACAATGCACAGAGTGGGCAGTGTGTGCTCTAGGAACTCAGTGAGAGGCAGAGGTGGATTAATGGCTCTAGACCGACCTTTGAAGGAATGGCACAGGTGTTGGAGTCTGGGTGTGTGTGGACATAATCCATCCCAGATATGCTGGTAGTTTGTTGGAATGTCGGTGAACAGATTAGTTTGAATCTTTAGGGAATTTCCCTAGGGGAATTAGGAAGGCACAAATCCTGTATACTGTTAGCCTGGGTCTTGAATTTTGGTTGGGATTTCCTCCATGAAATCGTTGATTAGTAATGAATGTTAAAGAGGGTGTCATTAAGAATTTTGAATTGGAGCTGGGCTTGGTAGCACAGGCATGTAGTCTCAGCTATTTAGGAGGTTGAGGCAGGAGGATGGACATTCACAACCTGCAGAGGGAGTTCTAGGTTAGCTTGGGCAACTTAGTGAGATCCTGTCTAAAAACCAAATGACAAAGCCCTTGCTTATCTTACCATGTCTGAAGCCCCAGATTCAAGCCCCCCCCCCAAGAAAAAGTTGAGCTAGGGGTGGTGATCTAATGAAACTATGAGGTTAGGAAATGTGATGATGACTCTGTGTAGGATGGAAGGGAGTATATAGATCAGAGGCAAAGAAACTTGCCTACCGGGGCTCAGTCTTTAATTGCTTGGACTATGAAGGTAGTGATATTCAGAGGGACTAATACAAATGAGTTTATGGAACCTGTTTTCCTCCCTTTATTTCCCACTACACTATAAAATCTACCATGTGCAAAAAGATCCCTGGGAGCAGAGAGAGAAGTAGGTATGAGTACAGGCAAGGTACCCCCTGGTCATAATGCTTTGTTCTAAAGTCAGTACTGACTGGGCTGGGGTTAGCCATGTTGTCCCCAGCACACAGAATTTATATGCTTATCTTTTTTTTTGAATAGTGTGTTCTACAAGGGCCCAGTGGGCACTGAGCACTAACTAGACTACAGCCTGCCTAAGTTTTATTGGTTTTTAAAATATTTTTGTTTTTATTTTATGAGTATATTGCCTGCATGCATGTAAGTGCACCTGTGTCATGCAGTGCCTGCAGAGGTCAGAAGAGGGCATAGGATCCCATGGAACTGGAGCTGTTAACCACCATGTGGATGCTCAGATCCAAACCTAGGTCCTCTGCAAAGGCAGCCAGTGCTCTTAACTGCTGAACTATCTCTCCAGCCCCTATCTTTGTTTTTGAGACAAGGTGTTACTATATAGTCCTGACTGGCATGGAACTTGCAACTTTTACATATACCAGACTTGCCTCAAGTTTGTAGTGGTATTTGTGTCTTTGCTGGGATTATAGGTGTGCTTGCCCGTGCTGGGCTAGACTTTGTAGTTTTATTTATTCATTTATTTACTTATTTATGTTTATGTGTATGAGTGTTTTGAATGCATTATGTAAGTGCACCTGTGCATGCAATTCCCACAGAGACCAGAAGACGGTGTCTGATCACTGGAATTGGTTGTTAGCTGCCATGTGGGCACTGAGAACTGAACCCAGGTTCTCTCAAGAGCAGCCAGTGCTCTTAACCACTGAGCTATCTCTCCAGTCCCTAGAATTTGTAGTTTAAAGGGAGCATCTATTTTAGTTTTGTATAATGAGGTGGGTTTTATATTCTACCTCCTCCTGCTGCTGCAAGTAATTTAAAAACATTTTATTTTTATTTTTAATTGTGTGTGTGTGTGTGTGTGTGTGTGTGTGTGTGTGTAGGTGAATGTGAATTTGTGCACATGTGCCTATGGAGGCCAGAAGGTGGCATCAGATCTCCTAGAGCTGGAGTTAACAGGCAGTTGTGAACTGGCAGACATAGGTGCTGGGAACTGAACTCAGGACCTCTGAAGAGCAGTAATTGTTCTTAACTGTGGAACCACCTCTCCAGCCTCCAGGTTATTTATTTATTTATTTTTATATTTTATTTATTATTTTTATTTTATGTGTATGCGTGTATTGCCTGCATGTAGGTAAGTGCACCCTTGTGGGGCAATCCCTGCGGAGGTCAGAAGAGGGCGTCAGATCCCCTGGGACTAGAGTTACCGACAGTTGTTAGCAGTCATGTGGGTGCTGGGATTCAAACCTGGGTCTTCTTCAAGAACAGCCAGTGTTCTTAACTGCTGAGCCATCTCTCCAGCCCCAGCTTTCAATTTATTTTAAAAAGTACTTCAGTGTTTATTTTACCATATCACTGTTTCCTTCTTTTCAAAGTGGGACTCACAAAACTTATTTATTATTGTGTGTGTATATGTGGAGGTCAGAGTACAACTTTGTTGAATTCTTTCCTTTCACCTTTATGTGAGTTCTGAAGATTGAATTCAGGTCCTCAGGCTTGTTCAGCAAAACCTTTTACCTGCTGACCATCTTACTGGTGAACGAGGTATGGTAACATGTCTGTAATCCCAGTACTTGAGAAGAAGATGCAAGAGGATTGGGAGTTCAAGGGCATCCCGAGATACACAGTGAGACCCTGTCGCAAAATAAAAAAGTAAAAAAATATATAATACATTTTATGTAATGACTTGGTTGGACTAAAGTCTCTGAGCTTTTCTGAGGATCTTTGAAACCACCTGATCCACTCTTTTTTTTTTTTTTTTTTTTTTTTGAGATAGGGTCTTCCTGTAGCCCCAGCTGGCCTGGCACTCACTATGTAGACCAGGCTGGCCTTGAACTCACAGCGATCTACCTGTCTCTGCCTCCTGGGTGCAGGGATCAAAGCCGTGCCCCACCATGCCCAGCCTGTAACTGGTTTTATTAAAAAAAAAAAAAAAACCCAATAAAACATTTAAAGCAGAAAAAAATAAAATATAAAAATATTTAAAAAATATATAAAAATGTCCAAGCATGGTGCACACCTTTAATCCTAGCACTCAGGAGACAGAGGTAGGTGGATCTCTATAAATTGAAGGCCAGCCTGGTCTAGGAAGTTCATACACCTAACTCCCTATAAACCTATTCTTACTATCCTGGCTGGATCAATCCAGTTAATGTGCCACGTTCTCTGAGCAGTTGCCTTGTTTGGATACCACTAGTGTTTTTCTGCACTACTTCATGATCAAAGTTTTTTTTTCCCTGCTGTGGCACAGGGACTGGTCTTGAAATTGAGATCCCTCTGCCTAGGATTTCTGATTGCTAGTGTATACCACTATGCCCAAACTCAAGTCCAAGCTTCTGACCATGTAGCCTGATTGCTGGGATTAAAAGTTTGTCTGATTCCCTCCCTTTTTTTTTTTTTTTTAAGTTTCCATTATTATTAATTTTTAAAATATTTCATTATTTTTATTTTGTGTGTATGAGTGTATTGGCTGCATGTATGTGAGTGCACCCATGTAGTGCATTGCTGTGGAGGTCAGAAGAGGGCTTTGGATTCCCCTGGAACTGGAGCCAAGGACGGTTCATAGCCGCCATGTGGGTGCTGGGAATCAAACCTGGGTCCTCTGCAAGAGCAGTCAGTGCCCTTAACTGCTGAGCCATCTCTCCAGCCCCTCCCTCCCTTTTTTAAAAAAAGTTTTTTTGTTGTTTGTTTTCTTCCAGTGCTGGGAATTGAATCCAGGGCCTTGCATATACTAGATCTACCACTGATCTGCATCTCCAGCCCTCTTCCACTTGTTTAAGCTAGTAGCGTAGTCATCTTTGACTTCTTTCTTGTTCTTACGCCTCTTATCCAGTCAGTATGTACATCCTAATTGTGACTACATCTCTTTGCTATGACTTCATCTGCATTGTTCTTGTCACCCAGATTAATAGAATAGCCCCTTAACTGTTTTTCTTGTGTCTGCACTTGCCTCTACATCTAGTCTTATCACCTGCTATAGCATCATCAATTTCAAATCTATAAGTCATTTCATCTCTTTGTTGTTATAAAAAGATTTCAGAGAGTTGATCTATCTTTTACTAATATTTAAGGACAAAGCCTTTACAGGGTCCAAAAGACCCTGTCAGATCTGGACTTTTTCAGGTCTTGTTTCCCAAAACAATCTCTCCTTCCATTCCAGCACATACTTGACTCCCTTCTGCGTAGATTACTCGGTGTTTACCTTCTGTTCATAGTACTCGTCTACCTGTGAGATCAGAAAGGGTTTCACTGAGAACATAGAATTTGAACACGTGTCTTTGAATAAAATATAAAATTTGG